CAGGAATTACTGCATTTGATATCTTTCCCAAAGATGGGATATTATCTTTCCCAAAGAACAGATCAGGTCTCATGGACCTCCAAGCATGTGTGTGTTCATGGGAACGAAAAGCTGAAATACTATGATCTAGCCTGGAAAACTCATTTAGAGGGCTCATAGTCTGCAGTGGAATACTCTCCGATAGTTAAGTTTCTAGGACTCTGGCCTAAGAAACAGAGTTCCCAGGATTAACAGAAATATGACTGTTCTGTCCTGAGCTCTCACAGACTCTAAGAGGTTAGACTGGGATCAGCCAGTCCAACCCCACTTATTTCATAACTGAGGAATCTGAGATCTAAAGAAACTGCTACAAAAGAAGCTTATCATCCCAGTAAGTTGCCAGGCAAAGTCTCAGATGTGCCCTGTGGGTTTGTTAGCATTAGTCATTCCCAGTGTTACAAAAATTCACATCGTACACACTTCAAGAGAAAAAGAGCACAGGCTCTGAGAATGGGCAATCTCGAGTTTGCATTAAAACTCCACCACCTACTGGATATTCAGGCAGAGTATATTTCTCACTTTGGAAATGGGGTACAACACTGCCACCCTGGAAAATCATGGAGCACCCACACAGCCCATGGGACACTGCAGAGCTCGGTGAACGGCAGCTAAACAGTAATGTTAAAGAGCCTGGGGCATGGACATCTGGGGGAACAGGCTTGGGAATTGGGAGGTGGGTGGAACCTGAGAACGAATAGAGAGGTCAGGGAAAAACCATGTGTGAGTTTGGCACAGTCTACCAATGCCTAGTTTAGGATTGCAGGATCAATTCAGAGGACTGATTATCTCAGCCAGCCAAACCGCAACAACTCAGACAATTCAATTTTCTGGCGTTCTCTAGATCCTACCTCATGTCATTCATTTAATTCTTGCTCCTTCTTCACAAAGAGAAGGAACAGAGGAATTAAAGAGAGATGAAGAACAGGCTGGTCAGAGCCTGCCATCATTACAGCAGGAAATCTAGACTGCACTTAAGTGAGCCCCCCATCTCTCCCTCACTTTTATTACTGGTGCTAAATACAGTGAGTGCATATTTTATTGTTCAACTGCTTCTCAAAAATAGAAGTCCTTTATATCACTTAGTCCTACTGGTACACGGCTGGGCACAAGGACGGGCGTCTAATAAATCATTTGTAAAGTCATGAGGCTGAAAGGGAGTTGATAATAAACCCACTCATTTTCACACTGAGAAGATGGAATAAGGAAGTAAACTAGAGAAAGGTAACAGATAATCAGCCCTTCTTATGTTTGGATGTTAGAGTTGGTATAACACTGTCCAGAAGATCAAAGCTCAATCCACACTCCTTCCTCCTAAGCATGCTTTATGTCTCTCTGTTCAAAGTGACCAGAAGGCAGCCCAAGGCTTCTGTTTTCACTTAACATCTTGGCTGAATCTTGCAATATTGTTTCATTTAGTGGGTCCACAGTTGTGTAAGAGAACAATTTCCTCTTCCTTGAAACTTTTATATGGCCTTTGTTCTCCTGCTAGGCCAGTTCCCAACTAAACTTGAATTTCCAGTTTGGAAGTGAACACATGGCCTTGTGATTTAATACATTCTTGGTAGTAGAACTGGAAAGATCTGTCTAGAAATATTGCATACAGCTGCAGCTAAGATCCAAGACTATTGTTTACCCACAGAGAATAGTAGGGCCAAAAAAAAATTCTATATTGAGGTTCAGTGATCCCAAACTCAGACAACTGTCATCAAAGCTGGGCAAGTTAATGCCACCGTCTGTAACAGCTGGGTTTCCACAAATACCACCATGCCTCTCACTCTTCAGAGGTATTATGTCCCCAAAGCCATGTTGGTTTTACTAGACTGCCTGCTACTTGGCACCATTTCAATGTGTGAATATTTTCATTCAAGATCTCCCCATCTGCCAGCAGCCTAGGCAGTTATGCCCCGGTATGCTGGTGGTGTTCTTACAAGGGGATCAGGCCACTGGGATTGTAACACCTGCCTCTGGGCGATGCAGGAAGTAACCAGGCAAAACAAAAGAACACAGGATATGGCTGCAAATAAACAGATTGAAAATGCTGCATGCTGTTGGTGTAGCGAGTTGACAGAAGCCCATCTGGATATCATCTACCTCTTGGAAGCAGAGTCAGATATCCAAGAGGTGACAGATGCACACATGCAGAATTTTTATCCCACATCAGTGAACTTGCAAAGTTTGAATTCTCTATAGTGCTCCATTTTTTGGGATATTTGCACAACCTAATTATGATACCTTTTCAGGGACACCACAACTTTCACAATGCTTCCTGGGATTCAAAAGAGTCAATCTAATCACCTGCTAGTCTCTAGGAGATGGATAATGAGAAAAGTCAGAGCTGCTATGTCTTCATCCTGGTGACCTCTCATGGAGAGCTTAATTAAAGTGTTTAGTGGGAAGAAGGAGGGTATATGGTAGAAGCAGGTTTTAATTTTCTTTCTTAGCTAAAAATGATCTATTATTCTATCAACACTAATAGAATCCTGATTTATTTCTCAAAATTTTCATAGATGATTTCATGTACTTTTGTAGGTAGTTCTGATATATAGTAGGCAGTTTTTCTTCTGCTTGCACTGGACATTTAGAGTGGTGCCTTCCCATGCCATTTGAAAGCCAAGGGGTTGATGCCTAGGGACAATGTTTTGCATACAGTAAGTGCTCAATAAATATTTGTTGTGTTGAATTAAGAAGAAATAAATATATTCACATAGGGAAAAGGGCAGGGACTTTATGAGAAAAGAAGTCGATTGTTCCCATAATCCCCAAGAATGATCCAGCAGTGGGATGTAGGGGTCAGATGAAGTTGACGGCTCATCAGAGCAGGTTGTTGTCAGGATGATTCCAAGTCCTTCATCCATACTACTCATGCCCCTGTTAGTCAGGGTTTTGTAAGGATGCAGTGGTGAAGTGGCAACTTTTGCTATTTACTAGCTACATAGTCCTGCACAAATTATCTAATCTTTCTAAACCTCAGTTATCTTATCTGTAAAATGGTAATAATAATGAAATTTATCTAGTGTTGTTCTGGGGTCAGCTTTCACTGGCTTATAAGAAGTGATTATCTGCTTCTCTTCCGGAATCTGAGTTCATTGGTTTCCCCTAGAGAGATGACAATGGCCAGGTAGGAGCATTTACACCATGAAATCAGTAAATGCTACAAATCAGAGCATATTTTTCTTGGAGAGCCAGCTGTTAAACATTTTGTGAGTATTAAATAAGATGAATCATGTGCAATAAGATAATTCCTTGCATACAGCAGGTGCTTCAGGATTATAAATTATTACTATACTTCAGAGACTCTAGGGCTTTTATACATTTTTACATCTGTGAAATCAGGAGGTTATTCGTAATCAATAGCATGTTATAATTGGCAGCATTTTTTTCTCAGTGGCTCACAAAATAATGGTTTGTGTCACAATCAATGGAGTGTTGAGTCAATGAAACATTATTATTACTATCATCATCATCCTCATTGTCATACTAGGCCTTTTATCACAATCCATGTAAATTATCTTTAAAATGTAAGAAAAAACACACTAATGTGCCACCATACATAGTAGTAACCTGCTGATTCAGAAGAGAATCTTTGGAGTAGATGAGATCTCCCATCTTCACCCCTGCCTACAACTGGCAGCTCGCCCTCTCCTTTCCTAACTCCTCCTACACAGCCCCCTCTCAGGAATGATCCTATGGGCCCTCTAACATGTTTGAGTGACTCCAGTGAATGTGGCTTCCCATGAGCAAGTTTGCACTGGCAGCCTAATGGCTCACTGGGCAAGGGGAGCTGAGATCACCTGCTAAAGACGCTTAGAGCAAGCAGAAGAAGAGGTCTTCTCTGGTGTAGAGGCTTTCCTGACACTGAAATGATCATGCAGGTTGCTGTTTGCAGAGCTGCTAGCTTTACAATTCTGTTGCCTTGTGGGTGATACATATCCGAAACTCAATACATGTTTGTTGAATAAGCCAATGAATGATTAAATGGATAACAATAATCAGGATATACCAACTATGAAGATTTTAATAAGTGAAATAATCAAACGTTATTTACGATGTACTAATTTGTACTCAGATATCTTGCTGGTGGAATGTAAATTGCTTTAGCACTTTTAAACAACAATTGCTGGTATGCATTAAAATTTTGTATGTGCCTACCATGCACAAACTAGAGTTCACAAGGATCATCGTAGCTGTGTTGTCTCTAGTGAGAAAAAAAATTGTAATGAGTCTATCTATGAATAAGGAATGGTTTAATAAATGCTACTATGCCCGTAGCCATTCTATATGCAGCAGTTAGGAAGAACGAGATCAGTCTGTATATATTAACAGGAAAAGAAATATTAGTGAAATAAGAATTTACTGAACACTATACAAAATATGATGATTTTTAAATTTTTTAAATATGAAAACCATTTTTTCTGTATTTTTGTATATGAGCCTAAATGCACAAAAGAATGTAATAACAGTTACCTCTAGAAAGGGGTATGGTCTAGAAGGTGTATGGTCAAGGGAGACGTTAGCTTTGCTTTTATGCTTAGATTTTAAATTTTACAACCGAAATATATTTATGTATTATTTGTAGAATTAACATTTTTTAAAAATAAAAGGGAAGCATAACTAATAAATGTTTAGGCTGAGGCATAAATTTGTGTAGCAGCTATGTGAGCATGTTCACTGCTGAGGAGGGAGCTGACGTGTCTGAGCTGCGAGCGGCCAAGCACAGCAGTGCAGAGCTCCTTCGAGTGGATGCTCCTCCAACTCATAGAGATTATGAGCCAAGACAGGAAGGCAGGGGCCCCCAGAGGCCACTGCAGTGACAGTCACCTCCAGGGCTGTCTGGCAGGAATGTACAGGCTGATGGGATGGCAGAGGCCCTTCTCCCCTTTGCTGATGCCCAGTGAGGTGGGAGTCAGGAAGTGAGGGGTGAGGGAGAGAGGATTGGAATCATCCAAGACAGACGCGTCTACCTTGTTACTGCACCAAGAGCCAGGCCTCTCCGTAGATGACAGTTCAGGAGATGTGATGATTTCTTCCCTCCTCCTTCATCACCTCTACTCTAGGCAGGCTGATTTCTCTGTGTTGGCACCAAGTGCAAACCCTCCTCACACCACGGTCATAGAGCCAGATGATAGCTCAAAAAGTTGTCTTGCTTGCTCCTTGCTAGGAAGTTAGGAATTAAGCAGGCCCTGGAAAAAAGTCATCACAATACATATAGAATGTTCTTTTTTCTTCCTTGGAAACCAAAATATTTGTTGTCCTTTTGTGAGTTCAAGTCCTTATTTTCTAAAATTTTCACAGAATGGGACTCCATCACCTTGCTGGGTCTCCATCCAACTGTCCATCTATTCATTCATCCACCCAATCACATTTATTTAGCACCAACTACAAATGTACCAGTACTATGGGACACCTGCTCTTTAAGGTGGAGAGTTTCAAAGAAGGCTTTGAGGATTTGACATGAAGAATGGGTACAGTAAGTGAGGCATATCCCGGCAAACTTTTGGGAGTGTGACTGTAGGATTAGAGTCAGATGAGGGAAGGGATCAAGCAAGAGTACTCCAGGCTAAAGGGAAAACATGGACCGTAACACATCTCAGCAACTCAAACTCCCCTATACCCACAGAACTAAAAAAGCAACTCTAAACTTTGTAACGAAGAAGTGAGTTAGAGTGACTGTGAAACAGGAGAGTTCCCTGTTCCCCCTATCAGTACTCTCAGCTCCCCTTCTCATTACTCTCAGACAGAGGTGTGGCTTATCTGTTTGGTCACCGCCCTGCTGCTTCTCAAAACCACTGTGGGAAGGGGAGCACGCAGACGGGCAGGTGCAGAGGCTGGCAGGGAGCACTTTGGGCTCCAGCCCCATGGTAGGGTCTAGGGGTGGGTGCCTGCAGTCCCAGTGTTACAAAGCTCTCTTAGCCTTGCTGTCCACAGATGGCTCTAAGTGTTAACCAACTCAATAGACCTTCTGCCTTTTTGCAAGGTCAGAGGGCCAGTGTGACAACTTTCTGTATCCCGAGCTCTTATCCAGCATCCCAGAAGTAACTGGTCACACATGGGCTTGAAGAATGAATGTGGGGTTTATTGAGTGGTGGAGGCATCTAAGGGCTGAACTCCTTTCCTACCACCCCTAGCTGAACTTTCCTCTTCCTCTCTCTCTGCTGCGTCCTTCTGCCGTCCCTCTGCTTGTCTCCTCATCTGCTGGTCTGCTCCTGGAGCCTGGGGTTTGGGGTTCATATGGGTACAGGTTAGGGAACATGGCAGGCCAAAAGGCAACTTCTTGGGTGTGAAAACAAGAATGCCTGTCCTCATTTAGGGTCACAGGTCTTCAGGCTTGAGGGTGGGGCTCTTGCCAGAAAACCCCACTCTTCTACCTAGTATTTCTCTGTCTCCTGTCTATATCACCTGTAAGATGCTAGATGGGTTTTTACAAAGCATAGGAGCATCATTCAAAAGGATTTTCAGGCATGTTAATGAAATACCAATAAAGCCATTGAGACAGAAATGCAGTTAAGTGATTCAGGTCTGGAAACCGAATTTCTGACAAAGGGAAGCTTGTTTAACAGGGTGATGGCATTTTTCACTTCCAAACTGTGGACAGCTGTACAGTCTGAAGTGCTCAGGATAGACTCCGTCAAGCTGAAAGGCAGGAATCAAGTTTCCCTAAGCCAGGTTGTTGGAGCCCTTTACCTCCTTGGCCAGCCTTTTTAAACTGAAAAATCAGTTTTAATTAAAAAATCAGTTCCAGTGGTTCTCCCATGCTCAATAAAAGCATCTGCACACTCTAACTTTCTTTCAAATACCTTGCCACTTTTACTCCAGACAGAGCCAACATAAAAGCTGAGAGATAAATCAAATTTCTTGTCAGAATATCAGGTAGGCTGGGGACTGCTGGGGAAAAAAAGGAACCTGCTGTGGACTTCAATGGCTCGAGAATTGGCAAAAACATGTGAAATGATTCCTGAAGAGCGCAGGTGAGTGCTCTGCAGGTGGCCAGGCAGGCACTCTACACTCCCTCAGGCTCCAAATCCAGCCCGGATTCCTGGTAACATGTGCAAACGTGTATTCATAAAACACTTGGTGGTGATACTCTAACAGGGAGCTGGACAGTCATTTTATTAATGATTAACTGACAACACAACCAAAGCTCATTGAGCAGCTACTGTGTGTCCTTAGAGTTAGAACTCAAGGATGGAATGGGGGAGAGGGATGGCTGCAAAATGGGGTTAAAAGAATTCAAGCCTTGCAGATATCATGCTGAACCCCTCTTGACTTCAATAGGAATAGCATCGTGTTTGAGAGGCTAAAGAAGAGATCTGGAACCAGTGAATGAGACAGCGTTTATGGAGGGAACTTACATACAGGGCAGTTCAGTCCAGTGGTGGTGGACTAGACAGAAGAACTGTAACAACTTGTAAAAAGCAGGCAGTTTATACAGCGTTTTCACTTAACACCGTCCTCCTAGCAACCTCTACCCATTAGCCTTCACTTAACCCAAAACAACAGTCTTGATATCCTGTACAGCCTGGGCCAGGGGATAAGGAATCAATCTCCATGCTGGCTGCTTCTGGATTCCTTAGCTTAGAGCTGCAAACACACATTCTTCTTAGACCATAGGGTCATTCTCAGGGTATGCTTAAGTTATGTTATTGCTGTCAGGTGTGTCTGTCATACAGAAGGCTCTTGATGGATGTAGTACACAGTGCAGATTAGGGAGGGGCCTTAGAGTCCCACTTTCCCATTCATTCACTGTGTGGCTTTGATCTGTGCACTTCAGTTTCCTCTTCTATAAAATGGGATCAATACTATCTTCTACTTCAGGTGGTTATGATGAAAAGAGATGAGCATAAAACATTTAGCTCAAAGAAAAGAAGGCATTACTACAAGGGCAAAAAGTAGACTGCTAGGCATCTTTTTATGAGTGAGCCAGGAAAACAGTAGGAGCCTAGAGGTTCTAGACATTTTTAAAATAAGAGCAGTGCAAATTATAGCTATATACACCTCCTGAGGGCAATGCCTCAAAAACAAATGCATTGGCTTCCTTTAATTCTGTATTGGTTTAATTCTACATGGTTACAGCTTGAATTTTTCAAGTATTCAAGTTATGGAAATCACCCTTTGCAAGAACAACATTAAAAAAATTAGAATCTGAAAAACAGATGCATTCTATTTGGAATGTAAATTAAGCCTTTAAAGAGGCTTTTAAGAGGTAGCCTTTCCAGGATAATAACATTGCAAGGACTCTAGGTCAATTATTCTTTAACCCAAATGTCACCTGGCTGTGGATACAAACAGGGCTACATCTAAATTAAGGCCAAAATTACAGTGCCTCTGAGAATCCCAGTCACCCAAGCAAATTATGAGTACCCCTTGCCCTGGATATTGCTAGAGCACTCTAAGGGTTGTCTCCATGTGCCCATGGGGACAGGAACTGTGACAGCCACACAGTCTCTCTCCCTGGTTCTCTCTCTTGCCACAACCCACTTGCCCTGGTTAGTTCTCAATAAGGAAACTCTGTTGCCCCTGCAGCTGCTGCCTATCATGGGATGCCAGTAACCACACCAAGCATGCTGTCCTTCCTTGAAACTGAGGAGTTAATTAGATCAAGTCTGCCCACCCTGCTTACTTTTAGTTATGGTTTTCCTTTTTCCATGAAGCTGATGGCTGCAGAAGCTAAAGGTTTCTCGTCTGAACAGCTGAAACTTAACTTTCACTGGCTACTTTATAGATAACGTTCATAGGTTGCCATGGTAATGAGCACATCAGTTGTTTTTTAGTAACTCGGGCCAGTTTCTGTTCAGTTCAAATCAGTTGAGACCACTGTATTAGTTCGTTCTCATGCTGCTAATAAAGACATACCCAAGACTGGGTAATTTATAAAGAAAGAAGGTTTAATAGACTCACAGTTCCACATGGCTGGGGAGGCCTCAAGAAACTTACAATCATGGTGGAAGGGGAAGCAAACATATCTTTGTTCACATGACAGCAGCAAGGAGAGGTGCGGAGCAAAAGGGAGAAAATCCCCTTTTAAAACCATCAGATCTTGTGAAAACTCACTATCACAAGAACAGCATGAGGGTAACTGCCCCGTGATCCAATTACTTTTCAGTGGATCCCTCCCACTATAGTTCAAGAGGAGATTTGGGTGAGAACACAGGCAAACCATATTATTCCACTGCGGGCCCCTCCCAAATTGCATGTCCTCACATTTCAAAACTCAATCATATTCTTCCAACAGTTTCCCAAAGTCTTAACTCATTCCAGCATTAACTCAAAAGTCCAAGTCAAAGTCTCATCTGAGACAAGGCAAGACACTTCCACCCAAGAAACTGTAAAATCAAAAATCAAGTTAGTTACTTCCTAGATACAGTGGGGGTATAAGAATTGGGTAAATGCACCCATTCCACATGGGAGAAATTGGCCCAAAATGGGGGACTACAGGTCTCACACAAGTCTGAAATGCAATAGAATAGCCAAAAAGTTCCAAAAAGATCTCCTTTGACTCCATGTCTCCCATCTAGGGCATGCTGATGCAAGAAGTAGGCTTCCATAGCCTTGGGAAGCTCTGCCCCTGTGGCTTTGCAGGGTACAGCCCACCTCCCAGCTGCCTTCATGGGCTGGCATTGAGTGTCTGTAACTTTTCCTGGCACATGGTCAAGCTGTCAGTGGATTTACCATCGTGAGGTCTGGAGGACAGTGGTCCTCTTCTCACAGCTCCACTAGGCAGTGCCCCAATGAACATTCTGTATGGGGACTCTGACCCTACATTTCCCTTCCACACTGTCCTAGCAGTGGTTCTCCATTAGGGTCCACCCCTGCAGCAAACTTCTGCCTGGGCATCCAGGCATATCCATGCATCCTCTGAAATCTAAGTGGAGGCTCCCAAACCTCATTTATTGACTTCTGTGTACCTGCAGCTCAACACCATGTGGAAGCTGCCAAGGCTTGGAACTTGAACCCTCTGAAGCCAGGGCCTGAGCTGTAACCTGGCCCCTCTTTGCCACAGCTGGAGCTGGGACACAGGGCACCAAATCCTTGCCTACACACAGCAGGGAGTCCCTGGGCCCAGCTCACAAAACCGTTTTTACCTCCTAGACCTTGGGGCCTGTGATAGGAAGGGCTGCCATGAAGACTTCTGACATGCCCTGAAAACATTTTCCCCATTGTCTTGGTGATTAA